ATGCTGTTGTCTGTCAGCCTGACAAATTCGCATACCCAGGATGCGAATGGCAACCCCTCATCTTTCAGGACACCCATCACATGTAAACATTAAGTGACAGACCCCAGAGTTCCATGCCAATTGCTGTCTCCCTACTCCTGTGCCTGGCTTGACGCATGTCAATGACGTGTCTATAGATTGACTTCATGTTTAAATCTGCTCTGTCTGATGGGACTACAGAATATTGTCAGCTGCCTGTCAGACCTCACTGGAGCTCAGAGCATCACGGGTCACAACCAGGTGATTCTGGACTAACTGGAACATGCCTAACTAGCACAAACCTCCTCACTGGCAACAGCCAGGATTCAGAGCAAATACAAAAGAAAAGGAAATTACTGACTAATCAGCCCATCGGATAAGCATCTTCCTCAGCACTGCCATTGGGATGCTGGCTGATAACCTGAGCTGCAGCACTGATACGGTGACAATAAGCTCTCAAAGAAGCCCTGTTGTCTCCACAGGGAGCAATGAGCCCTGTGCCAGGGCTCCGGTGTGATGCAGCTCAACTGCAGGCTCTGTCGATAGCATCTGAACATGGCTATTGGCTACCTCTCAAGAAGAGAAGCTCTCTGGTGGAACTGGGGATTGTTCAGCCCAGTATTACTGTCATCATTTATCTAGCAAAGGGAAAGACCTGCTGTGTGTGAGGGAGGCTTACCACAGTGTTCCCTTCTGGCTGGAAATCACACACATGGAATAGTTATGCCTCCTTTGGGTTTGGCACCTCATGGTTTGGGCTTCAGATGCTGAGTTGGGAATTGTTAGCTATATTAAAGGAAATGTGCATAGCTCTGTGTAACAATGAGAGCAGCGCTTGTCTTGGTCACAGGAGGATGCTCTACTTAACTAAGTAATTAGGCCTAGGTCTTTCCCTCTTACATCACAGAGTTACACTGACAGGTAGGTTCCAGGTCTTCGTTTTCATGGCGTGAGATCATAAGCACCTGGGGACAAAACCTCTTGTACTAATTGCAGGAAGGTCAGCGGAGTTACCACGCTGAGGGCCTGGCCCTGTGTTCAGCTCTGATGCTGAGCAGCCCCAGGTCTCTACATGCACTGCCTGTGAATCGCTCTGCTCCCGATGTGGGGAGGTCCTGTACAAAGCGTTTGCTCCCCCTGTGTTTGCCCCCAGTGCCCCACTCTTCCTGCTCGCTGACACAGCCTCCCACCTGCCTGCTCCCTGAGCCTTTTCTACTTTACCACAGAGCAAGCACTAAAGGAAAGAAAGAGCTAATTGCAACTCCTTGCCTGAGCTCCCCTAGCACTAAGGTGGATGTGTGTGGATGCCTGTGTTTCCCCAGCGCTCCCCTCAGTGACCACGCTCCCTGCTTCCCTAGCTCAGAGCCAAGGATTATCCTAGTGGAATTACAAGAGACAAGGCAGCTCCGTCTCTGCAAAGAAAACAATTTCACAGAAGACTACACTAGGATAGGATGGGAAGCAGGGACACAAAGGCAGTGAAGAAGGAGCTGATCTCTCCCTGGCTTGAGCCAGTCAGGGTAACCAGCATCCAGAGTAGTTTTTAAGGACAGAAAGGCACAGAAATGTGAGTGTTTTCATTCCGTACAACTTTCTTTGCCAGCGTCATTACCATTGTGTTTCCATCCATCCATCCCTTGCCTGGATACTTGATGTTGCTTTTCACTGGTCCCACAGAAAGCTTGTTCTGCTTAGATGCTGAAGGAAGGGGATGCGATTCAGAAAGCATTGCACTCAGGTACCTGGGAGAAGCAGGAACTGGAAGGTCTGTGCAGCTTGGCTACTAATTCCACAACTGATCTTGGACAAAATAAATACACATTCTTTGTACTTAAGAAGCATGAGAGAATTGAGGGGGTTTACTGTGGCTCTGCGGAACTGAGATCAGCAGCAAACCAGACTAACACAGATGGGAGACAAGCAGTTGGGTAAGAAGTGTCAAATATTTGACCAATGCAAAAAAAAAAAAGCCTTATGAAATATCTTGCTTTTATATTGCACGTGGGACTGCTCAAAGCACAAGCGTGGACAAGACTGATAAATCCTTTTCTGATGGATCTCCAGCTCAAGACGTGTGATACATGTAACTTTAAAACAGAGGTACTCATACAAGCTGCTTCTTTCGAGCTAATGTAGCATCTGTAATTCAGAGGGACAAAGGCAGAAGCCTATAGCTCTAAATCATCATTCAAAGCCTCTACTCCTGCTCTGAGATGTCTATCATTTCTGCTTTGCAAATCCAGGCAGCTGCGTTTGTTCTCCAGAAAGTTCCTGAAGCACAACTCAGATCCTATTGCAACATCCAGTATAGCTCCATGCAGTCGGGTCGTATCAGCCACAGACCACAGCCTGGTGATGCTGCGGATGGTGAATGTGTGCTCCACAATGCTCAGCCTCCTTAAGGCTGACAAGAAGCCACATTCCAAGTGGCTGTGGATATCAGCCTTAGCCTGAGTTCTTGGAGTAGTTCATGCAGACAACTAGGAGCACTCAGAGATTAAATTCTCAGCAGAATCAGAATCAGCAGTGTTACAGGGCATAAGAAACACCTTGTTCTCTGTCGTTACAGGCATGATTTACAGCCATACAGTTCCGCACCTCTGCCTTGTGCAAGCAAAACCTTCCTCAGTTTCTTCATTTAGAAAAAGAAGATGATGCCCTTGACCTTTATAAAGGTGTTTGCAGTAGGTGGACAGATGCTGCAAGCTAAAAGCTTGGTAGGACCACTATAATACAAATAATGGTAGCACCAGGAATACGTTTTGTATTCCTCCTTTCCTGACCTTCCTCCCACAGCCATTCATGCCACATTCCCTCTATGCTCTCAGCTCCTGCAGCTGATCACTTGCCAGCTAGAGACACTGACAACAAAAAGAAAACAGTTTAAGACACAGGATCTCTCTCTTCTCCCCTCCCAACATCCTTTCCCTGCAGGAGACAATGATGGATATTTGCAATGTGCATCTCCCTCTCTGCCTCTGAGCTGCGGTGCTTGCGAGCAGAGGAAAGGCTGTGATGAGGCTCTAGTGCCATGGCTCACACATGTGATTGATGATGACTGTGCTGGAGCCTGGGACAAGAAGGGTTTCTGGGGCTGATGGATAAAGTCTATCATGCAGCACAAAACAAATGGGGAGGAAAAGATTGGGCCATCTGATTCTTTCTAACAGTGACTCTTTAAAGGGAAAAGCTTACTGAGGGGGTTTCCTGATTTATCTGTAATTATAGCAGCTTGGGTCTTCCCTCTGTTAAGTGCAGATTGCCTGACCAGGTACGTCTATGGGATATCACAGGAAGCCACAAACGTTCCCTTCTGCTGGAGGGCTGAGCTGGACCGCTCGGTCTTGCTTAGCAAAGGGAAGACCCAGTCAAAGAACCCATTTAAGGAGTTCACTTTCCCTGGCAGCACGACCCCATGAATTAATGATCGGATGGGAGACAGATAATGCTGGGCTTGAGTTTTTAGTGTGTTTTCATGTATATTTCATAGACCTGTTTTCTTTTTGATGTTTAAAGCTCTTTGATTATTCTTTTTAATCCTTCTATCTCAATTTTCCTAAGTGCCAGTTGCAGCCCCCATTTCAACTTGCAGGTGAGCTGCTCCTTCACAGCTAACACAGACCCATTCTGCAGAGGACAAGAGATGATCTTTAGACATTAAGTTTGGGACAGTAGCGCAGGAGGTTCTTTGGTCTGATGCTTGGAGTCAGCTGGAAGGGGATACAGCTCTCAAATCACTTCCAAATGTCACTTTCAAATACAAACCATCGCAAGGGAAATCTGCAATTGCTTTACTGATACCCACTTTGCAGGAGCTGCTTTTACCACTTGGCATTTACAAATGGAAACAAAATACCCATTTTGCCCCTGGATAGGGGGAACTCGGGGCACAGCTCAGTAGTGGCGCTGCATTCAGCCTCAGAGGTGCAAAAGCAGGAGGAATTACCAAAATCAACAAGAAACTAATCTCTTTAATCCTGGAAACTTTTAAAACGGGTTTAAATAATTGATACACCTTCAGAAGCAGCCTGAATCCATGGAGGGGAGATTAATATTGAATGAGGATGCTTCTCCCTCTCTGTATGGGAAAGGATGGCAAAGTCATAGAACAAGTCCTTTGCACACCGCGGTTGGCATAAGGTAGGTAAGATGCTGGTGAAATTGCTCCTTAGCTCGAGATTTCAGACGCAACCTGACCAGTGGTGTGGGGAGGAGAGAAGAGGTTTCCCAGCTCTCCCAACTTGGTTTTTGTAGGAGATGGGAACCAGGAAACACTGGAAACTAGAAGGAAGAGGAAAGAAGCAGTCTGAGAAATCTATATTAATAGTCTCCCTCTGTGATGCTGAGTTTTATGGGTATTAAGCCATGACAGCATCCTACATGCCCCCTCTCCTGTACTGCCCCCCGTCCAGCTGGCAAGTTTGGCTTCCCTTTCTCTCTCCAGCCATTTGCCATGTGCTCAGCAGTGCCTCAGACGCCCACCACACTGGGATCACCGTGCTGCAGCGCTGTTGATTGTGGCATTTGGCCAACCACTGGGGATCAATCACAGCCGCTGGCTCCAGCTTGCCTTGTGTCAGCTCCCCAGTGCTGATCCTTCCACCAGCTATGGCGTGGCTCTCCCAAAGCCAGGCGCATCACAGGGAACACAACTCATTAACCTTGCCTGGGGCAAGGCTGGCAACGTGTGCAGCCCATAATACAAAATGGCAGTTACAGTGGAGAGGGGAGACAGAACGGCAGACAGAGCATGTTCCACTTGCTAAAGCTTTGCTTTTCCAGTCATGTTAATTCAGATTAAATAAGGCGTTTACGTCCATATCTACAAAAGTATTTAGGTGCTCAAATGCTGCTGGATTCAGCATCACTTTTTGTCACCTTTGGGAGTCTGGGGTCTTATGCCTTTTTCCTGCAATATATTGCAATATGCTTAATGCTGAGAAGGTCACTGTCCATAGTTGCTACATTGCTCACTCTCTTACCAGTCATTACACTGCTCTGTCTTCATCTACGGTCCTCATCCCAGATGTATCTGAAGCTTTCCAGGTGAGTTAAAGCCAGCAGCTCTGTCTTTGTCTCCTTATCTCCCATTCAGAAAGAGGATCATTAACTTCAATATACCTATAAGAATAAGCCCTGTGAGATCACTCATGGAAAAGCAGCCTCTTCCTATGGCAGGCAGCAATGCCAGGTCAGATGAGCAGTTACAAAATGCAGCAGGGGAACACACAAGGAAACATAGATCACTGCACAATGTCATCCTGGCACTGGGAAACGTGCTGGAGCCTTGTGCCAAACGGATGGACTGTGCTGGGGCAGTGAGCAGGATTGGACTAAAGTTAATGCTTCCCTTAGAATTTAATATTAATAGACAGAGTTTCATTAACCTGCCCCCTGAGGTACCTCATAAGGATCATGCCAGAGAAGAGAAGCAATAAGGAAATGAATAACAATTTACTGCAGTATAGATGCGTGATGATAATCAATACTACTTCACACTAAAATCCAGTTGGCATCCAAAACTCTCTCAAAACCAAAACACAGCAAGAATTAATTCAGCAATGACCCAGTCTTCAGAGGCAGCGCAGTGTTATTACATGCTTTGTTCAGCTGGGCCACAGGGAGAAGACAAGACTTGCCCAAAGACACACAGCTCACAGTTGACAGGGTTGCAAAAAATTGCCCAAGGTCTTGTGTTCAAAGTCTTCCAGCTATTAATGCCCAGTGGAGGCCATTATGTTCATACCACTTAACAAAGGCCATCAGCTCTAAGTCGGCAGCGGCCAGATCGAGCCCAGTAATTGTGCTTTCTTTAGTGCCAGTCTCTTGAAGAGCTAAAGATGAATTAGGTGGCAGAACAAGCCATGTGTTAGGTCTAATGGTTGTGACCAATCACTCTGAATAGCATCCCTCAAAACGTGATTTCTCTTGGGTTGTGAGGCAATATCATACATTGCCTTTAAACCCACAAAAGGCACACAGCATGGACAATGTAATAACAGCAGTGTGGAGCAAGGCTGCTAGAGAGTGATCTGGCAAACTGTAATTGATACCCAGTGGCAATTCACAGGCATAGGCAGCCACTCTGGTAGATTTGATTTAACAGAGCACTGATGCTGCTGCCTGCTGATTGACAGCCTCCTCCATCATGCATGGCAACTGCTGCGAGACTCTGCAGCCTTGTGGTTCTTGCTGCCTGCCATCAGTCTCTACCACGGGATGCTCACAGCCCATGCAGATCCTTGTGCTGATGGAGAGCTCTGCGCCCAGGTCGGACAGGAGCCTGCTGCAGGTAACTGAGACTGATGTCACTGGGAAAGTCACCAACCTGGCACTGAAACACGGGAAAGAGCCTTCAATCCTCCAGCAGCAGATGAGCAACTGTGCCTTGGGTAGAGCTCTGTGCCTCCCAGGGGTTCCTGAGGGACATTCATACAGCAGGCTGTTATTACAGATGGCAGGAGACGGAGGCTACTTGGCCGTGGGTTGAGAACGTGATTATTTCCTGATCATTAACACATTGAGTGGCTTCTCACAAGCTGAAATATTGCAGGAAAAAGTGAAACGCAGAAAGAACAGGGCACAGGTTCACTGTAAATAAATTTGTCACCCAAGGACTGACCTCAGGCCAAGCGGTTTATGGGATGCTTTCAAAGACACAACAGCCTCTTCTGTAGACATGTGTTACCTGCCCAAGTCTGTCTCCTCTGCCCTGACACCAGTGCACACTTAAGACCCAAACTCCAGAGATTTAAACCTCTGCAGGTAAACACCGAAGGTAAGTGAAGGTAAATACAGAAGCCCTGCCTGCTGCTTCATCTTCCCTTGTTAATGTTTAGGATTAGTGGGATCAGATAAAAAGCCTGACTCGTGCTTTTGCAACACCTGAGGTTAGCAAAGGTCCTTCTCACATAGACTGGCACATGCCTTCAGTGCATCCATCAACTGCGGTTCATGGGTGAAGCGCAGGGACAGATATGGCCTTTGAAGCAACCGTGGCTCTTCTCCTTTTCTTCTCCTGGCTGTCCTGAAGTCACACACACTGATCCTGCAACTCTGGTAGGAGAGAAATTGCCTGTTCTCTCAGCACTAATATATTTCTGGTTTCTGGTTGGCTGCATTTGCATCTGTTTTTGCAGACTGCCTTCCCCTGGAGCATCTTTATCGGATTTGCTTGGTCTCATGACTTACTGCATGTTTAGAACTAAGTTCTCTAGAACTAAAATAAGCCCCAGGATGGCTCAGGTTGCTGGAGCAAATCCAGGAGTGTGGGATAGAGCCAGCAGCCCGGGTGGGACATGAAGGATCTGGAATACTCTCCAGGCTGGAAGATTTGTCACTGCAAGCACCAAGAGCTGCTCCTCCCTTCCTGCAGACCAGCAACAGAGCCTTGAGCACAAGCAAAGCCCACGGCACAAACACTATAAATAACATTAATGGGGCCACTGCTGGTGACATCAGAGCAGGGATTTGTGAGACTGGCAACTGCAAACAGCAGCAAAGTGGAACAGTTTCACCCCGAGAGCTTTCTGGAGATGGTCTTATCTGAGAGGCTGAGTCAGAGGCAAGTAAAGGGGGCAGAGGACTCGCCCCACTCACCCTGCTATTGTGGGACAGGAGGAATTTCTGGGCCTCCCCACCACAGACCGCAGCAGTTTTCATTGTAGGACAAGGCACATGTTCAGGCAGCACAGGAAAAGTGGTTTCTCTGGGGACACGACACCGAAGTCCTACTGTGGGGTGTGTGGGAAGGAGATGGTGCCAGGTCTGTAATACCTGCAGTGTCACACCACTCCCTGCAGTGCCTACTCCTCAGTGCCGTAGGCATTGCAATGCTGTCACCAGAGCCCCGTTCCCCTGTTTCCCACAGCATCACCTGGGAAGGGACTAGCACCACTGTTGGTCTGTACTGCTCCAAAACTCGGACACCCCATCCTGCATCTTCCTGTGGAGCCCAGGGAGCCTGTTTGGGACTTCTCTCCTTTTCTCAGCAAACACCTCCAACAATAACTCAGGAGCAAAACTGTTTTACTGCCAAGGTGTCACTCTGCTGGGATTAAAACCCCTCCTAGCCTTTGGATGGGTCCCCCTGAACAGCAAACCCTGTGTAATGAAAGAGTGTTAATTTTACAGCTAGAGTATAAGCATAAATTCCATAAGAAAGCTCTTGGAAGCCAACCAGATATCACTGAAGTGGCCAAGTGTGCCTTCAGCACAGCCATGAAATAGCCAGGAAGCAAAGCAAGTGCAAATTGGGCAAAGAATGCCCAATGGAGATAGTGCTTCAGCACTGCCACAAGACAACAGCCACCCAGGCTTGCTTAATCTAGGTAGATTGGAGTGCTCAGGAGCTAAGGACAGCAACACTTCAGCTAGCAGCTCATTTTCCAGGGTCTAAGGCAGGCTTGTGCTGACTCTACTGAGGGCTCTGCTGCTACAGTTCTGATTTGTTGGTGCCCAAGCTCTCCAGCATAAAGATAGCTCGAGTGCATCCAGATGTGCCGCATCCACAGACCCCAGCTGCAATAGCAGCATGGCTTTTAATAGCCCTCTGTGGAAGAGAGAAGTGCTGACGTGGAACACCCTCGATCATCTGAGTCCTCTGGATGAAGGTGACTTGCACCTCCAGAGCCTGATACTGGTTCATGTCTCAGGCTACCTGAAGTGCTGCTCCCAGCCATGCCACACGAGATCAGCCACACACCTATGTGCTTCTACACTGGCACAGCAATGGCAGGCAGTGAAACTCCTTGCTCCCAGTCATGCACTGGGTGCCCAACAAGGACAGAGTGCCTTGGCCTGAGGAGATGGCAACCAAGGTCCCAAGATGGCAGAAGCTGCATTCACGCCCTGTGTTCCCCAAGCAAAGTGTCCTGTAACACCTCCAAAAGAAGCAGGAAAAGAAGTGGGAATCCTACAGAGTACTGATTCTAACAACCACACGTATCCCAAGGCACTTTGTGAAGGTAAACAACAAAGGTCAATCGCTCACCTGGCCATTAGAAAGAGTTTTCATTGTTTTGAGAGACAGCCTCAGCCCATCTCCAAATCCTCTTTGCTGGGACACTGGCAATCTTTGTGCTGCTTGTTCCCAGCTCTCCCTCCCCTGGCCCTTCCTGCTGCATTTCCCTTTGCTTGGCCAAACCTTGGCAGTGCAGGAGAGGAAATATTTATCAGTGCCAGAGGAGGGCTGACTCTGACCTTTCCTGTCGAGCTGTTTGTTGAAGTCCCTGACAAGCCATCCTGCCCTTTTCTACAGTCTAAGATTGGGTCATCAGGGATGAAGCTCCTGTCTGCGGACTACAGCTCATAATGCTATGGCCAGAGACAGCATGCAGGGCAACAGAAAGCATCAGCAGAGTCTCATACACCCCCTAGTGAAGGGCTGTAAGGTGTCAGGGTATGCTTGATGGCAAAAAAAACAAGGCCCAAGACTTGCCATCACTGAGACATCACAAAAGGATGAGGAGGAGGGTGAGCTGCGAGGTTAGTGTTTTAGCAGTAATAAATCAGAAAGCACCAATTCAAAGTTATCAATGCGCCATCCTATGCTTTTAATGTAACATCCGGTATCGTTGGTTTAATACTTACACTATGACAGGGACTTTGGGAGTTGCTCCAGACTACCTTTGTAAGCTAACCCCTGCTGCAGAGAAACTCCCATGCCGTAAAGCTAGGCAGGTAATGTCAGAAAAGGGAAGAGAGGTGGAAAGTAAATGATTTTTCATCGGGTCAAGAATGAAAAACCCTGCTTGCATTTCTCAGGTTAGGTTGCAGAGGGTCTGCCACAAGCACAAGGGCTCTGCTCACAAGTTAAGCAGACTTGTTTTCTTTTTTTCCACAGTTTTCTCTGCCTGCTGCTGTCCTTAATGCAGGATTAATGGATGCAATGCTTTGTGGTTGGTTTATGTAAATTGCTGGCAGCAAACAACAGTCATAATCCACTTTGTTGCAATGAAATGCAGCTCATAGTGAAATCTATTATAGTTCAAATATAAATTAATTATAATCCCTTCTGCTGTAGTGAACCTTCATGTATAATTAACATTTACTGTATGGG